CTGATTTTCTTCCACTTTCCATATACAGAGATGCGCATGTTTGAAACCACAGAGATGAAAAACTTCCTGATGTCTACATGTACAGGCACAAATACTACTAAATGAAGAAAGATTGCAAAATTATTTCCCCACTACCAGAGAAAATCTGTGAAAATTTTTTTCCACTTGTGAGAAAAAGGGCGAAAATCTTTTCTTACTTGTGGGAAAATCTGTGAAAATCTTTTCCCACTTGTGGGAAAATCTGTGAAAATCATTTCTCACTTGTGGGAAAATCTGTGAAAATTTTTTTCCCATTTGTGGGAAAAAGCGTGAAAATCTTTTCCCACTTGGGAGAAAAATCTGTGAAAATATTTTCCCACTTTTGGCACACTTTTTCACAATGTGTGAAATGAAAAGGAATTCCCTGGGAAGAGAAAAAATGTGAAAAAATTTTCCCATTTTGGTGTTAACTTTCAATCGCAATGTACTGTACACTGTCTATGTTGTCAGCCCAGCTCATCGAAACCTATAAATTCCACAAAAAAGTACCCACAAGTACAGCATGTCCTAGCAGTGACAATGACAAACATCGCCTGACACTGAAGATGAGATTTGAAGTTTCTCATGGTGCATGTGGCACGCAAAGGTAACAGGTTTGCGGTATCACAGACACCCACAAAAAGAGGCAGTCTACATGGTCCTAACGCAAACCAATTACCTTTGTTTGACACGAAAGGGAACTGAGACATCATCTTAGCTTTGCATACAAGCTAAGGCATTTGAGTCACACATGCCACGACAGGTTTGTAAACATCGAGCTAAAGAATTAGCAGACATTCACTACATGTCACGCACTGTGTCTTACAATTTGATATAGTCAGTGGTTTACGTGTATGTTACATCTCTTAGATTATGTACAAGTAGGTTTATTTCTGATTTGATAGTTTGTGTGTATGTTGTGTTACTGTTTATTAACTTTGATATATGACGCGTTCTTAAAGTGGTGGGCCCTGGAAAGGGAACAATAAATATTAAATCATTCGTAGGAAATCTCTTGACAAATAGGCTTGTTTAATCTGATTTTTCTCAGTCATGCAAATATGAGAACTACATTTTAAGGGGAAATGAAAAGGGCAGGCAAAATAAAGCACAGCAGTGAAGTTTTATTCTTAAAGCACATTTATCAATACTATAATCCAAGCAGGTATCATTTTTAAGCTGTACAGTTTGAATAGGAAAAAAGCAGGATACTGTACCTCTTTGGGGAAGGCAGGGTCAGCACTCTTTTCACTGTAGCCAATGGCATCAAACAACTTGGCCTTCTCCTCAGCAGTCATGGCTTCTTGGAAGCGACCTGCAGAGAATAAATTTGACCTGTGTAAATTACTCACAGTACTTTCCAGTGACATCATCTGAACTAAATACAAGTGATGCTCACTTCAGGATGGTCACTTCCCAGCCACAATCACAGAGCATTTACATGCTGAGCTGAATAAATGTGTAGCAACTTATATGGCCTTTAACTACGGCTGCAACATTTCATTTGTAACTGGAGAGACACGTAATCCTGATTCATCAAAAAGTACTGCACGCAGAACAATTTTCACATCCTACATACAGGAACAGCATTCAATTTCTTTTAGTAGATTGCTTACACAACTTTTTTAGCTCATCAGTGACTAGACTTTTAGATAAAACTGTGAATGTCCCTTATCAATTTCACTAGTGGAAAGGTGAACGTCTAACGTCAGATTCAGTACCTAGTCTAAATGTTAAAGTACAAGTATATCAAGCAGCACTCTAGCTTTACCATCACTCAAATTAGAAAGTATTAAGAGTCCTGTGGTAGCCCGAGGTTGTGTTTGACTTCTAACAAAATTCTTACTATCAAATCCCAGCTAGAATACTTTCTAGTCAAACTGTAGTCAAACACTATCATCATATTTCACTATCTGCGCCCTCTGGTGTAGAGATCAAATTAAGCAGGTCTACAGGTCAACAGACCACACCCAACCACTACTGATGGGGTAAGGCTCCAGCAGTTCAACTAGTTTCAGAGGGGGTAAGCTCAAACATGTAAACAGCAGACTAATTTAAATTTTCTGCAAACTTCAGTTTGAAAGCAAATTTAACAGAGTAGTGACAAACATCAGAGCAGTCGACGTAATGAAATTTGTATCCGTTTTGGATCCCCCTTTGCACCTGCTTTCAGTGATGTCATCTCACCTGCAATGTCTTCCAGATCACCCCCTTCCTTCTTGGCCTTCGCTTTCTTGCCTCCCCCAAACCAGCCCCCGAACCAGCCCTTCTCCGCCTTCTCTTTGGCCCGTTTCTTGCCCAGATGTTGGAACTCCACCTCGGCCTGCTGGCGGCACATGGTGATGTTCATCACGCTCAGCTGTTTCTCAATTTTCTGCAGAAGGAAAAGAATCCAAATGGAATCTGGATTCACCCTAAGCACTAGGAAAAACATTAAAGGATGACACTGGAATGTCCCCTGCAGAGGTCAGAGACTGCTGATAGGAATGTGCTGAATATTTGAATATTCAACAGAAAATCAAATATTCAATTATCTATTTTCTTATCGATAGGCCCAACACTATGACCATAAAATTACAGAAAGTTTGGGGAATTTGGTATTTATACAACTAAATATCCAAATATTTGAAAGGCTGGCAAGTCCAATATATGACAACTTTCTGATACAAACTGACTCAGCCCTAGACGCTATCTTCAAAATCCAAGGACAAAAACAAAAACACAGGTATTTGTAACTTGGGCCAGATTTCTGTACTAACCTCCAGATTGGCTATCAAGTCCTTTCCCGGTTTACTGGTGTCCAATTTCTTCACATACAGCTGTTTATACTCCTTGAGCATCCTGCGATGTTCCTTGATGTGTTTCCAGGACCACATCTTGTGTCGTCGCCGCACTGTCTCCTCCAGAATGCTGTTCATGGCATAGTGCCACCTGCATACACATCCATAAAAAATTGCTTATTTTGTTATCGCTGTA